CCATAGTTCCCAATGCCCACCAATATTTTTAATTCGTCCTCTCTTCCCTGCCCCGTGTATCCTTATGTTATGTCTCCCACCTCTCTGTGTCTACATTTCCCAGTATCTGTCCTTAAAGTTCTCCTGTGATAGCACCTGTGATTATTTTAGTTATCTCAAATTTTTTGTTGCTTTCCATTAAATCCTTTCCTACTTTACTTTATGCGATGAGTACCTCCTGAGCAGGGCTATCTTAACAGCATTATAGGCCCCCAGACAAAGCATTGCACTGGAATAAAAATCTAAATTATCAATAAAAATAAGCTTATATTTATTGGTACCTCCAACAAACACATTACATACATAAAATACATACACACAGCCTGCTGAATAAATTCTCAGACTGCTGAATACACATACAGACTGCTGAGTACGCACAGACTGCTGAATACACACACACAGACTGCTGAGTACACTCAGACTGCCGAGTACACACACACACAGACTGCTGAGTACGCACAGAATGCTGAACACAGAGACACACACACAGACTGCTGAGTATATAAACTATATACACACACAGACTGCTAAATACGCAGTCTGTATGTGTGTGTGTGAGGGTGCAGTGTGTGTGCATCGGGTATATATATATATAGATATTGTTTTATATACGGTCCACACCCACTTGAAACGTTTCATTGATTAAGACAGCCGAAATAAATCTCTGCTCCCAGAGATGTTATAGTGTGGTTTGCAAACTATTACCTCAAAGATATAACTATGAAAGAAATGAGGAATAAAACCCTCAGAGATGGGGTCTATAAGGATACTATTTTCTTCACAGATCTTTCGAAAGCTGCTGTAACAGCAAGAAGGCACTTTCAAGAAGTAACGTCTGTATTAAGGCAAACATTTACAGATTTAATACAAGCAAAGGATCAAATGACTAAATGGGGCCTGAACATATCATTTCCAAACGTACTCACTCGCTTAAACAATTGACATTTATTTATTTTTTCCCCCTTTTCCCTCCTTTACAAGTTTTAAGTTAAAAAGTAAGTTGCACATATGATAAAAGGATAAGAGATGGAGATATGGTTATTATAGTCAGCACGTTATCAGCCAAACATTAGTATCGCAATTTGCACTACGACTAGACACAATCAAGTATAAAGAGATTATCACAAGTTGTTCATAAACTTACACAAGATTCAGTAAAAGGGTCTTAATGATTTCTTAGATTAAACATCATAAATACCAAATACTTTATAAAATATACACCAACCAGTTTAAAATCTCTTATAAAAACACTTCAAAATGTTATATGAAAATAAGATGATAAGAAAGGTTCTAGGTGTAACTGGTTTAAATATTTAACACTAATGGAATTATAGTAAAGAGATTCCTCCTAGACTAAAGTTAGAAGTTTTGTTTAGATAATTCACTTGTGTTTCCGTCCTGTGTTTTGTTTTTTCCCCCTGAGAATGGAGGGGAGAAGGGACAGAGAGATAAATAGTAAGGCGAAAAGAAAATGAGGGAAAGGAGAGAATTATAGTCGATATGGAAATCACAATCAATTGAATAAAAAATGTCTTTAAATATATAATCACAGTTAGTCAGCACCCCTTGGATGTGACCTAAGGTGGCACTAGGTCAGATTAGGAACGATATTCCTGATCAGCCAAGAAGTTCTCTTCTTATAGTATGAATGCAGAATGGAAGTTTGTATATGTTGTCTGTCTTGTGTTTTTGGTAAGGGCTATGGAAAGTATATACAACATATGAACGGACACAGAGAGCAGAAAGGAAGGGAAAAGTATGAGTGACGCTTCATTTTCTTTCAATCAATGCCCAGGGTTTGAATATTCCCCAAAAAAGAGGACATTTGTACCATACCCTTTGCCAAAAGGATATTGACATAGCTTATGTCCAAGAAACTAATTGGATCGATTCTGCTAAAAAACTATGGAGGTTTTCCCGTTTTCCACTGATTTATTAATCAAATGTTATAAATAAAAAAAACGGCTAGCGCCTGCATGTGCCGGCAGGGGAGAGGGAGACCGGCGGATTTCTCGGGGGGGGCAATTGCCCCGTTGCCCCCCCCGGATCCGCCACTGCTAGAGACTGGATTAACCCATAGCTAAACATAGCAGTTTCTCTGAAACTGCTATGTTTATAGAAAAAAAGGGTTAGACCTAGCTGGACCTGGCACCCAGACCACTTCATTAAGCTAAAGTGGTCTGGGTGCCTATAGTGGTCCTTTAAGGGGATATATATCTCGTTGTTGAGATTTCTGCCATGATGGTCATGGATCTTATTAAAGGACAAAAAAAAGCTACCTGACCCAATAGTTTCTCAAATTATCTATCTATAGCTATCTATATCTGTCTATCTATAATTATCTATATCTGTCTATCCATCCATCTATCCGAGTATGTTGCCAAAACCTGTCGATCCCACCTTAAAAATATCACTGCATCCACCCATTTCTCACGCAAGATGCTGCCAAGGAGCTTGTTCATGCTCTGGTAACCTCTTGCATGGACTACTGTAACTCTCTCCTAGTTGGTCTCCCCAAAAGCCGAACTTCCCTGCTATAACCGGCAATGAATGCTGCCGCTAGGCTGATCTTTCTCACCAGTCACTCCTCCCCTACCTCGCCCCTCTGTCAATCCTTACACTGGCTTCCTGTATCCTATAGGTATCAACTCAAAATACTAACCCTACCTATAAAGCTATAACCAACTCTAGCCCCTCTTACATTTCTTCCCCTATTCACAGATATGCCCTTTCTCTGTCTCTCTGCTCTGCCAGTGACCTTCTCCTGTCCGCTGCTTACACCCTGACGACTTCTCGCGGTCGGGTCTCTCTTACCCACTTACTCACTCTTACTCACTCACTCAGTGACACTCACTTTCACTCATTTTTAAAATGTTTACTTCCGGTTTGGATCCTCCTACTGTGTCTCATGCCTACTGCCTTCAGTCTGTCAGCCAGAGCTGACTCTGTGTATGCAGCGTATCCTTATCTGCCACACTGTTGGCTATGGCTGCTCACAGCCTCCGGAGCTACTACAGGACACAGGAGGCACATTCACAGTGCCTCCTGTGTTCTGATAGCACGTTTGATGTCTTTAGCTGAGCTTGAAGACGTCAAACATTAGTCCTGTGCTTCAGGCAGGACTTAACTCAGAAGTCCCTCTGGTGGCCATCTGAGTAACTGCCACTGGAGGTGTTACTAGGTTCTAAGGTAAACACTGCATTTTCTCTGAAAATACAGTGTTTACATGAACTAGTCTGCAGGGAGCTATTGTACTCACCTGAACAACCCATTAAGCTGAAGTTGTTCAGGTAGTCCCTTTAACATTATAATGGAAATGTCCACGTTAAGCTTCCTTCCAGGGAAACAATGCCAATATTTTGTGCTTTAAACAGTAGCAATACATTTTTGGTTTTTCATTTTTTATAGGTCTTGCAATTCAATTAGCAGATCATATGATAAGAACTTCTAATGTAAGCACACTGTACTATAAATATTAAACCATTTTTATGGAGGCTGCGTGTCTAAGGCAGGAGAAGGGTGACTAGGGTTGTATAAACAAAATAATTTAACTCCTAAATGACAGATACAGGGCAGTGAGATTGCAGGGGCATAATTTATACATCATGGGAAAAGGGAGAAAAGGTGTGTGATATCACATTTTTACTGAGGTTGAGCGAGGGCCGGTTCCCTAAACAGCTACTTTAGGACTGAAAGGGACACTCCAGGCACCCAGACCACTTCTGACCATTCTGCCAACTCCCACTACCGGCGGAGGAGGAGCGTGGGTGGACTCTGACATAGCACAGAGGGACATCAGCGCTGGATACAGGTAAGTCACTGAAGGGGTTTTAACCCCTTCAGCAACATGGGATGGGGGGTGGGAGGGAGAGGGGACCTGCAGTGCCAGGATAACGGTTTGTTTTCCTGGCCCTGGAGAGTCCCTTGAAGTGTCAGGGATACACATTTGCATTACTGACACTACAGTGGCCCTTTAAGGGGTTTAAATAAGCAAAAACTCAGTGATGCATCAGTGATCCCGTTAATTTTCCTATAATAACAATGCAGAAATCACTAACCAATATTAAGATAGAGGCAGGAATAAAGCTAAATTTGTATTTGTGCATTGCTTGTAATTTCAAGACCAATGGTACAAAATCACATTTAATAGTAAGCAACGTTACAATCTCTCTTTTCATGTCGAAATACCCACATTTCAAAAAAGCAATTTTGCAGTAATTCCTGTAGAGCCTTAGTTAGAACAATCATAAAAAATAGCTTGAGATAAATAGACATTTAGGCTCCTGGCCACTAGGGTTTAATAAAAACAAATTACAATATATATATTTATTTATTTTTATTTGTTAAATGATAAAAAGGCTAAATGAATGAATAAATAAAGATACATCATAGATACTATGAATGGCTGCTCTAGGACCAATCATTGGATGAGTGCCAATATCTGACCAAATGCAAAGGTTCATATAGCAGTCAGTCTGTGAGCATGGACAGATGCTTTGTGGGTTAATTCACTAAAATCAAACATGTAGTGAATTGCAATTCAAATGGCAGAATTCTGGCCAAAGTGTGTCTATATTTGAGAAAGAGATATTTTTCAAATCAGATTCATTACTATTTGGTGTTTAGTAAATAAACCATTTAAGTGAGGCTGAAATAACACAGCCAGCATCCTCCTTGTATTTGCATATTTCACTATTCCAGCTGTCAGGGTATATAAGTTTCCTTTTACAGGAGAAATCTTATAGTCTGTATGTGACAATTCACAGCCACAAAGATGGTCCCTCTCAGTTACCTGCTGTGTGTGATTATGCTTTATATTCAGGGTAACAATGGATTCTCATTACACATTTCATTAAAATCATTCAGTGTATTATTTTCATTATATGCTTAATATATAATTAGTAAATTGTTAATAATTACTGTTCCTTTTCAATCCCTTAGGATCCTATGGACAGACTGTGATGACTCAGACTCCAGAGTCAGTTACTGTGTCACCAGGAGAAACTGCCACCATGACATGTACATCTAGTGCTGATATAGGCAGCAATCTAGCCTGGTACCAACAGAAACCAGGACAACCTCCAAACCTTCTTATCTATAGGGCAAGCAGCAGACAGCCTGGGATCCCAGCCCGGTTCAGTGGCAGTGGGTCTGGAACCAGTTTCACTTTAACAATCCGTGGAATGTTAGCAGAAGATGCAGCAGATTATTACTGTCAGCAGGGTCAGAGCTTCCCTCGCACAGTGATACAGAGTTGTACAAAAACCTTCATCTTTTATCTCTACTAATGCTGTGCAGAAAGGAAGCTGCTTATAACATCTCTAGTAAAATGTGCATTTTAATCCCCCATAGGCAATAATAATAATTTAGAGGTAATTACATATTTTACATTTACACACATTATTCTCATCAGGCAGATTTATTTGAATCAATCTTTGTTCAATTTTTAATATGTTTAATGTATACTTAGAAAATTACACAAAACTAATGCGTATTTTGTTTTTATTATATGTTTAATATATGATTAGGAAATCATTAATATAAACCAGTGGTGCCCAAAAGGTAGATCCCCAGATATTGTAGAACTACAACTACCATGATGCTTTGCATGCATTTAGAATGTAGCCCATGGAACAGCACAGCTAAGGGAGTGGACCTTGACATAGCCAGGAGGTAGCCATAGCAACCAGTTTAAATTAAGTGACAGTTGGTGAGTTAGGGGCGGGGTTTTATGAGCAGTATGTGTGGCGGCCATTTTATGAATTGGTACTTAACCAATGTACTTAACCGGTCTTCGGCGATCGCAATGGGGGACTTACCTGCCATCCCAAGGAGTCCCCCTGCTGCCGTTCAGGCCCTCCTGTGACATGTGATCGCGAGATCCTCGCGGAATAGCCGTCCATAGCAGAGCCAGCAAGGGGGAGCCTGGAATGACAAGTACTCCCCCTGCTGCCTGAAAAATAAATAAAAACAGTTTAAAACTGTTATATAATAAAAATAAATAAATATGTAAATATGTAAAAAAAATAATAAAAAATATATGTGTAATTTCGTTCTAACTGTATTTTGTTATTAATATATATTAATATCAAAATACACGTAGAATGAAATAATATTTTTTTATTTATAAAATATTTTACCAGGAAAGATACAATGAGATTTCCCTTGTTTTCAAGTATGTCCTGGGTCCACAAAACATTGCATTGATACATTATGGTACAATAAAATACAAAAACAATATTAATATACAATATATACAAAATTTAAGATAGAACAGGTAGGAAATATATAATCAACCATGACAAGTGCATTCTCTTTTGGGACATGTAGAGAGGGATCTCTTAAAGGACTTTAGGCTTAGGGAAGATTTTAAATTGTGCGGGAGGTCATTCCATAATTGCGGTGCTCTGTAGGAGAAGGAGGATCGGGCCGCTTTCTTTTTGTATTGAGGTAGACTAAATAAAGTGCTGGTACTGGATCGGAGCTTATAGGAGGTGGGAACAGCCGAGGAGTAAATTTTGTTCAGGTAGGGTGGGAATTTCCCAGAAAAGCTCTTAAACACAAGGCTGGATAGATAAAGGGTGCGTCTGGATTCCAGCGACAACCAGTTTAGTTATTTTAGCATGTCACAATGGTGGGTCCTGTAATTACATTGTAGCAAAAATCGGCAGAACAAGTTAAACAATGTGTTGAGTTTATCAATGTGGGATTGCGGTGCAGGTGCATATACTACATCCCCATAATCCATGATTGGCATCAGCATTTGCTGTACAATTTTTTTCCTTTACTGTAGGGCTTAGGCAGGATTTGTTTCTGTACAGGGCACCTAGTTTTGGATAAAGTTTAGATGCAAGTTTTTCTATGTGTAGGCCAAAAGATAGATTGGGGTCTAATATCACACCCAAGTATTTGAAAGAGTGAAGCGCGGTCAGTGTGCTATTTGAATTTGTTTGGATGGATAGCTGGGAATTGTATAATTTGTGTAATTATGGAACTGTTCAAAAAATTATTATGACAGTTTTGTCAGTGTTTAGGAAGAGTTTGTTTTTTGCAATCCACTTTTCTATCTCTGTAAACTGGTCTTGGAGCACAGCCTCAAGCTGCGGTAGATTGGATTTACTCGCATAGATTACTGTGTTGTCTGCGTTCATGTGTACATTTGAGGATTTGAAGACATTAGGCAGATCATTTATAAATAATGTAAATAGTAGGGGTCCAAGAATGGAACCTTGGGGAACACCACACGTGACTGGGAGAGGGAGGGAGTCGCTGTCAGAAATGGACACATATTGCAAGCAATCCGATACATACGATCGAAACCAGGTTAGCGAACAATCACCAATACCTGAGTTTTTGAGTTTGTGCAGTAGAATGTCGTGGTCTACTGTGTCAAAGGCCTTGGCAAAATCAAGGAAAATAGCTCCAGATAGGTCTCCTTGTTCAATGCCAGTTTGGATGTCATTGCAAACTTTTAAGAGGGCAGTTGTTGTGGAGTGATTCTGGTGAAAGCCCGATTGATCAGGGGTCATATAGTTAGATTGTTGGTAATGCTCACATAGTTGCATATGGACACATTTTTCTAAGATTTTTGAGTACTGTTGAGTACACACACTATATATACACACAGACTGCTAAATACGCAGTCTGTATGTGTGAGCATATATATATATAAATAATTTTTTTTATATACGGTCCACACCCACTTGAAACGTTTCATTGATTAACCCCTTCAGGACGGGTGACGGACGAGGTCCGTCATCCTTGGGATGCCCTTAACAACGGGTGACGGACCTCGTCCGTCACGCGGTAAAATTAACCCCGCGATCGCGCAATGCCAGCGATCGCGGGGTTAACGCTGTTGCTGGGTGCCTCCAAGTCAGGGGCAGACCAGCAACAGCAAATCGCGATGTCCCAGCACATGTGATCGCTGTGACAGCCAGTCACAGTGGTCACAATGCTGCTGGGACATCTGATCCGCCTCCCTCCACCTCTTGTGGGTTTGTGAAGTGGAGAGAGACGGATCGGTGCTACATTGTTTCCCTGAATATTAGCTAAGTTGTAATAAAAATTTCCTACCCCTTTCCCCTGTCTAAAAAAAAAAAATTAACCCTTTCCCTGCTGCTTGATCACTGCTAGCAGTGATCAATATACAGGTCACAGTACTTTACTGTGATCTATTTTTTTTTTACACTTAAGGGTTAAATTTTATTTTTTTTGTAACCCTAAGGGGTTCAATTTTATTATTTTATTTTATTAATTTGTGATTTAGTTAGTTGGGTGGGTGGAATTTAGTGGTAATTGGGGAATTTAGTTAGGGGTAAAAAAAAAAAAAGTTTAGTTATTTAGTTAAAGTTTTCTTGTTTCTGTGTTAACTGTATTAACAATGTTGCGAAAGTATAGCGCAGAGGAGGCTTATGCCCTGTTAGCCGCTGACTCAGAGGCAACCGACACTGCCTCAGAGAGTGACGCAGGGAGTGACGCAGGGGACAGGGACTATGTGCCAGATACTGCAGTAACATCAGAGGAAATCGCTGATTCCCCTAATGTTCAATATGGCGCAGATGACTGGGTACCCCCTAATCATTTTTCGCCAGACATCCCAGTGTTCACTGCCAATCCTGGCATACAGGCTGACCTGTATGGCTATAATGCGCTGGATTGTATGGAGCTGTTTTTGGGGGATGATTTTTTTGGGGAGGTAGTTACCCAGACAAATCTGTATGCGGAGCAATATCTTGCACGCAACCAAGACTCCCGAATCGCCAGGACAGAGAGATGGTACCCAACCAGTGTGCCAGAAATTAAACAATTCTGGGCACTGACAATGTTAATGGGGATAGTTAAAAAGCCCACAATTAGAATGTATTGGACTAAAAATCCTATTTTTAATACCCCCATTTTTTCCCAGACAATGCATAGGGAGCGATATGAGGACATACTGCGTTTTATGCACTTTAATGACAATATGAAGTGCCCCGCAAAAGGTCAACCGCAGTATGACATTCTTTATAAAATACGCCCTCTAATTTCCCAGTTTAATGAAAATTTTGCCACTATTTACACCCCCAAAAAACACATTTCAATTGATGAGTCCCTCATGAAATATAAGGGAAGACTGGGATTTAGACAATATATCCCATCCAAAAGATCCCGATATGGGATCAAATTTTATAAACTGTGTGAAAGTGGCAGTGGCTATGTATACACCTTCCGTGTATACGAAGGAAGGGATAGCCATATTGATCCCCCAGGTTGCCCAGATATAATAGGGACAAGTGGGAAAATTGTCTGGGATTTAATAATGCCCTTACTTAACTATGGTTATCACTTATACATCGATAACTTTTATAACAGCATCCCACTCTTACAAATGCTGTACTGTTTTGAGACCGTGGCCTGTGGCACTATCAGGAAGAGTCGCACAGGTTTCCCAAAGGCTCTAGCAGAAAAAATTAAAAAAGGGGGAAACATAGGCTCATTAACCCCTTAAGGACCGAGGACGGTTCAGGACCGTCATCGGCATTTTTGCCTTGAGGACCGATGACGGTCCTGAACCGTCCTAACGGTCAGAGCTACTTACCTGATCGCCGTCGTTCCCCCGGCGGCGATCATCATGGCTCCGGTTGTGGGGAGACTGCCTGCAGCCCAGACAGTCTCCCCACGGCAGATTAGGACCCCTGTGGCCATGTGATCGCTTAACACAGCGATCACATGGTCACAATAGGTGTCCATGTGTCTGCCTGCAGGGGACTGTCTGTGCTGACAGGCAGTCTCCTGCTGAATGGCAAAAATCATTAAAAATAAAGTTAGTGCAATAAAAAAATAAAAATAATTATATGTGTGTATGCTGCTGAGTATGTATGTACATATCATATGTATGTGTCATATATATATATCACCATACTAAATTAACATTTTTATATTATTATAATACTATATTAATATAAAATACACTTATAATAAATACACACATATATATATAATATATATAATAACTATATATATTGTATATATATATTATTATAAAATATAAATAATAAGTAATTTAAATTAAATAATTTTTTTTAAATAATAATAAAAATTTTAAAAAAAATTATATATCTATATGAAATTTTATTCTAACTGTATTTTAAAATTAATATATATATATTTATATCAAAATACACTTAGAATGAATTTGTATATATGTCTATGTATATAAAAATAAATAAAAATAATAAGAAATATACATATGTCCATATACAAAATGACATAAATAATTATATAAATATACACGTAGACTTCAAAT